GGAGGGAGAAAGAGAAAGAGAGAGGGATCACATAAAATCAAAAGAAAAGGAGATATTACAACTGATACCATTGAAATTCAAATGATTATTAGGGGTAATTTTGAAAAAAATTGAGTCTTACCAAATTGGAAGTTCTAGAAGAATTAGACAAGTTTTTGGATTACATATATTCTACCAAAATAAATGAAAGTATAAAATGGGAATGGGCAAATAACAAGTAATGAAATTGAATCGCTAATAAAGTCTCCCAACAGGAAAAGTCCAGAATGATCTGGACTCACTGCTGAATTTTACTAAATTTTCAAAGATCTAACCCCAGTGTTTCTCAAACTATTCCATGGTAGTAAAGGGGTGGAGACCATTTAAATTCATTCCATGAAGCCAACATCACTCAAAGATTAAGAAAACAAAAAAATAAAAATACAGAACCATATTCTTGATGAACATAGATGCAAAAGTCCTCAACAAAATACAACAAATCAAATTCAACAGCGCATCAAGAAAATCGTGTACCATACCAAGCTGGTGTCACTCTAGCAATGCCAGGAGCAGTCAACATATGTAAATCAATATATCATATAAACAGAATTAAGTATAAAATAATATGATCATCTCAACAGATGCAGAAAAAGCATTTGATAAAATTGAGCATCCATTCATCATAAAAGTTCCTGAATAAATTATATATAGAAAGATTATATCTTAAAGTAATAAAGGTTATATATGATAAACCAACAGCTAGTACTATACTGAAAGAGAAAAAATTGAAAGTGTGTGCACTGAAATCAGTAACAAGACACCACTTTTATCCTATCTAGTATTAGAAATTTCAGCCAGACTAATTAGGCAAGAGAAATAAGTAAAAGTCATAAAAAATATGAAAAGAGGAGCTCAGATTATCCTTGTTTGCATATAATATGATTCCATAGACAGAAAAACTTAACGACTGTATCAAAAGATTAGATAAATGAAACTAGTAAAGTAACAGTATAAAAATATATGTGCAAAACTCAGTAGATTCTATATGCATCAATAATGAATTTGTTGAGAAAGAAATGAAAACCATGCCATTTTCAATAGCCAGAAAAATATCCTGGGAATAAATTTAAGAAAGCAAAAGACTTTTGTATGAAAATTATAAAACATAGAGGGAAGAGATTGAAGAAGACAGTTGAAGATGTAAAGATTTCCCATGTTTATGTATTGAAAGAATTAATATTGTTAAAATGTTCGTACTACCCAAAGTGACCTATAAATTCAATATATTCTACATCAAAATACCAATGATGTTTTTCATAAGAGGAAAAAAACCCTAGAATTCATATAGAAGCAAAGAAGACACTGAATAGTCAAAGCAATCTTGTACAAAAAGAGAAAAGCTGTAGGTGTCACAAAAGGCACACTTCAGAGCTATGGTAATAAAAAAACTATGGTATTGACATAGACACAGACACATGGTAATGAAACAAAATAGAGAATCCAAATGTAAATCCATGTTTTAAACAACTGCTTCTAAGCAAGCATGTCAAAAATATATTTATATTGTATAAAGACCTTCTTTTTAAAAAATAGTGTTTGAAAAATGGATATCATATGCAAAAGATTAAAACTTGATGCCTATCTCTCAAGCTGCACTAAAATAAATTTAGAGAAGGTCAATGACCTTGATGTAAGTTCTGGAATACTGAAATTCCAGAGAAAAGTACAAGAGAAACTCTTCAAGATATTGGTATAGGCATTGAACACTCGGGTAGAACTCTAAAATGTACAACTAAAACAAAAGTAAAATTGACAAATGTGATTCCAGCAAACTAAAACTCTTCTGCACAGCTAAGAAAACAACAGAGTGAAACAGATGTTCTCTGTCACGAGACCAATATCCAGAATATACAAAGAACTAAAAAATCTCAGTGAACAAAAAGCACTTAATCCTTCCAAAGATTCAAGTAATGTGAATAAACCCTTCATAAAAGAAGAAAGCCAGTGGCCAATAAACACATTGATCTATATCATTAGCTTTCATTTGTATTTGCCAGCACAATCAAAGCTATGAGAGATTCCATGTCACCAAATGGCTATTATCTAACTAATTAAATGACTAATTAATGAGAGAAAAGAAGAAGGAGGAGGAAGTGGAAGAAGAGAGGAAAAGAGAGGAGGGAAGGGAAGGGAGGGGAAGAGAAAAGAAGAGGGGGGACAAAAAGTGCTGGCAAGGGTATGGAGAAAAAAGAATCCTTCTATACTGTTGGTGGGAAAATACCTTTCTATAACCACTACAGAAGAGTAAGGATTCTTTAGAAACCCAAAAGTACAACTATTATAGGATTCACTTATTCTATTCCTGGGTGCAAATCTAAAGGAAATGGCAACATACAAAAGAGACACATGCTTATGGTTATTGCGCTCATAATCACAGTAGCTGAGAAATTAAATCACCCTAGGTGACATCAAAAGACAAATGGATAAGAGAGGGGAAAAAAATATATATATATAGCCATAAAGAAGAAACTGCTATTTTTCAGGAAAGTAGACAGACTGGGAGGACATCATTTTAAATAAAATAACCCAAAGGAAGAAAGACAAGGACGTCATGTTTCTCTCAGCTGTGAAACTGAATGAAAGTAGAGAGGAATTAGAATTACTAGGTAATGGGAAGTGTCCCAGACAGGGTAGTAGGGACAGAGGTATAAGAAGTGGGTGGACATAATCAATGCACAACATATGAGTGTTTGGAAATGCCACAGTGAATCCCATTAATTTGTACAATCACTATGTGTTAATAATTTTAAAAATTCTAAAAGAAGGCAAAAGATACTAAAAAGCACTTCACAAAGAACAAAAACATATGACTGCATTAAACATCTTATTTGGCTGCTAAAAATGTTCTCCAACCGAATCATGATGATGGTGGCACAATTTGATCAATTTACTGAAAAAGTACTTGGATTATACAATTGAAATGGGGAGAATTATAAGATATACTAAATGTGCTTAAAGTTGTTAATAAATGTCTTTTGTTTTTTTGAGACAGGGTCTCACTAGGTAGTGCAGGCTGGCCTCAAACTCATTATGTAGCCCAGGCTTTTAACACACATACACATGCACACAAATGTCTGAATTTGTGGCTGCAGATGCAAGGTTGTTTCAGGATCATCTAAATTTGTGTGACTGTGATTTAACTCCTGACCCCTAATTTTAAATAAAGTCTGAAGAGACCATGCTTGGCTGGCCTGAATCTGCCATGAAGCCAACATTTTAGGGATGACTTACTTCATAGGACAGAAATCAAAGAAGTTACATGCAGCTTGGCCTGCAATTGCTGTCAAGAAATCAATGACACCATCAAATAATTTTATGTAATTTTCTTCTGGTCTACTTACAGAGGGACGCAAGAGAGAATGCCAGCCAAGTAATTGTGCTGGTACTTATTTATTCACAACGAGCATTTAGAGCCCAAGATTCACTGTGCCATCTGTTGCATGTGGCACAAGTTAGTAACACATCTACTTTACTGAAACAATGATATGAGGACACCCTACTTTAGAAGGTAGATACATATTCATGCATCACATGTGTGTGTGTGCATGTATACATATAGGTGTACCCACAAATATACACTGCATTTCAGTTACAGATGAGACTGTTTTTCAAGTTGTAAAAGAAATCACCACATTCTTTACAAACAATTATCTTCTCTACTAAAAGCTCATGTAGTGAAGAGGAAAATTACAACACTACAACTGAGGTGTTGGACAAGTTGAGAGATGTTAGACAAGCCATTTACCTATCTAATTATTGGTTCCACTTACTGCTGAAATTATGATAAAGTTCCTTTGAATTTTAACTCTAAATTATTTGTGATTTTATTTAAATATGATTTAGAAACATTTGGTATATGAATAAAATATCTACTGATTCATTCAACAGATTTATATTTAGAATACGAACTTATAGATTGAACTATTATAGTGTTTTAGCAGATTATTTTACTGCTGGTCACTTTTTTAGTTTTAGCCCCCTCCTTCATTGTACACGCCTTACACAGAAACATCAGATGATTCCATGAAAATTTCTGTTCTTTCCCATTTCTAAACTTGTTTACTTCTTTCCATGCATCAATCTCTAAAATCTAAAATCTTAGCATACTAATAAAAGATGTTTCTAAGCACCCACAGACCACTAGATTGTGATTTTTAACATGTCTGAATTATTTTTCAGAAAAATAGTCCTCTTTGATTGCTTTCTAATACCCAAATCACAACAAGATGATAATTTTTTTATTTACCATTTCCTTTTTATATTATTAAGTCTTAGGGAGATGTGTTCACTACATCCCATAACTTTTGTTAAATTGCAAACATTCCAAGATACAGAGGTATTGCCACTGCATACTTTCTTATTGGGAAGAAAGGGAAGTGATTTGGCATTTGAAATTTTTTTTCTTTTTATGGATTAAAAAAAAAGCACAAGAATCTAATGACCTTAGAGGAAACTCAGCTTACTTTTGCTTTAATGCACCCAGAAGACTTCAAATCAATACTTAGCATTAACGTTTTAATTGGGAATTAACATCACTATAATTGGAAGTGAGGATCAGCATCCTGATGGTTTGAAGGTGATTTGTTGGGGGAGGTCATTACACTGGGGAAAACAAACAACGGAAAGGAAAGCACAAATCATTTGTCCCCTAGAACAAGGGCACAGAGTAAACACTTGAACTGGTAGTCAACTATAATTTGCTTCTAGAGCCAGAAACACTGAATTTCTAGCAGAGCATGAAAGCAGTAATGACTGAAAGCAAAGAACAAAAGAACAAGGGGAGAAGCTATCAGTTATGAAAGATTGCTTCCTCATCACAAGGTCTCAAGGACTCTCCCCGCAATTTAAGAGCAATCTGTACCTCTGTGGGGAGTCCCAGGGCGCCCCACCGCCAGTTGTTATTTTCAGCAGGCTCTCTTCCTAAATAACTACCCTTTGTGGGAGTCAAACATATGTAAGTCTGTGTTATCAAAAATCCTTTATTTTTTGTCTATGAACTCCAGACCAATATCTTCCCAGCCTGAAAAATATAGACAGATATTCTTTTCCATTTTGGTAAAAATGAACTTTTTAAAAAATTGTGCTGTTTTCTGTTTGCCTCTAATGTCTTGAAAAGGTCAAATCAGTTCTTCCAATTCCCCGGAATACCTCTCCCAGCCCTCCCTGCCCTCCGGTACCACCCTAAGGCGTTTGCACCTCTTCCATCTTCAGGAAATGAGTGTGCTGTTAACCTTCAGCTCCTTGGTGAAAAGAACTTATAAAGGGGATTTTCCACACGCAAGCTCCTCCTCTCCCTTTGCACGAAATGGAAAAAGTCTGTTCACAAGGAGTGTCTGGGTCCTGTTTCCCTATGTGACCCAAGAAGAGTGAGGGGACCCTGCTAGGGAACAATCCTCTACTCTGCCCTGCAGGCTGCTGTCCCTCACCTTGACCCCATTGTCTGTGCAATGTGCCGAGCTTGAGCGCTCAGCTTCACTCTCCAAACCCCCAGGGGCCAAAGGCCCTTTCCTTGGCTGAGAGGAAGGACTTTTGTGAAAGCAGAGTTTGAAAAGCCCCAGTACTGTCATGGTCAAGATCACTAACACCACCACTGCTATGCTCACAAATATGAAGACCACAGTGGAGGCGTAGCCAAAGGCCTGGGGCACGGAGGAGGCAGGTGTGGAATTAAATGTGGGGACCATGCTTCCTGATGGAGTGAGGCTGGTTGTCAGCTTGGTGTGAGGGGATATCTGAAGGGAAGAGAGGGTGCTCTGTGCTCCCCACGGGAGAATCTCAGGAACAGATGTGGCAGCAGGGACACTGGGTGGTCTCTCTCCTGGCTTCTCGTGGACCCTGGGAGACCTCGTTCTCTTCGGTACTGGGCTGGCTGCAGTGGCCGGCTGGCTCCAGGTGGGCACGTTGGTTGCCTCAAGGGGCAGCTGTCCTTCCTTTTTGGTCACACAAGAGCGTCTATCTTTTCCCAGCTCGAAGCCCTCAGCACATTCGCAGGCAAAGTCTCCCAAGCCGTCCAGGCAATGAGCAAGCTCCGCGCATCTGCCAGCACGGAGATAACTCCCGGGGCACGAGCAGAGCACCGGCCGGGAGGGGAGCCCGTCCCAGCGCGCGCCGGTCTCTTCCTCGACGCAGGTGGCTGAGATGGAGAGCTCCCCAGGGCAGGTTGCACTCACCTTGGTCCCCGGAGGACTGAAGTCCAGCGCAGAGCTGTGCAGCTGGAAGGGAGCGCGGTAGCTCAAGTTAGAGGCAGCCCCTGGGTACGGCGCGGGGCACAAGTTCTCAAACTGGTACTTGCACAGGTAACCACTGGCGCGCAGGTGGCAACGCATCTCCTTCCAGCCTGCGGGCTCGAGCCCCCTTGTGGCCTGTAGTCCCGCGCACTTGCGCACAGTACAGGAGCGTTGTGGCTCCTCCACCCAAGGCAAGGTGTCGTTTTCGGATGCACTGGTGTCGGAGGTCAACCAAGAGAAACCCCGCAAGGGCTCGTTCTCCTGGGTACAGTGGGAGCGCCCGCGCTCCAGAGCCACCCAGAACACCAGGTCTTTGGAACCCCCTCCAGGCCCGGGGCCTGCCCGCAGGAGCGCCAGGACCGCGCGCAGCTCAGCGCCTGCGTGCACCGTGCTGAGCGCCCCGCCGCGCAGGTTGCAGGCCTCCTCGGCCGCCGGCCGCTTGATGGTAGCATGGTGGAGGCTGTAGCAGGCCCCCGAGGCCAGGCAGCCCGCGCGGTCAGCCGTGGGATGCTCGGCATAGCCAGGCCGGGGCCAGAACGCCTGACAGAGGAGACACAGGGCGAGCGCCGGCCTCATCTTGGAGGCCAGTGCCTGCAGCTGCTCCCAGCTTAGGTCTGTGGGGCCGAGCGCACCGAGCGGCCTCTGGAGCGCTGTCACCGCCCTCTGCAGCTGGCTCCCTCCCCTGCCTCGCCCCCACCAGTCCCCTGTCCTCCGCCCTCGTCCCCCAATCTCCAGCAATCCCCACCACAATCCCTGAAGCCAGCAGCTTCCCCTAGGCCTCAAGAGGAAGTGTGACCTGAGCTCTGCCAGGCCCGAGTAGCCCGGATTTATTCTGGGATGAAGCAAAGCTGGCTGGCGCCTGAGCACTTGGAACACCAACTTGTCCGGAAGGTCAAACACCGTGCTTAGAGGAAGAGAAAAAGAAAGCTGCTGGTGAGGTGGGGTTTGCTTCTCTCTACTCTGGGCGTTTCAGGACCTGGCATCCCAGCAACACTTTGCAGAACATTGGCAGGAAGGACTGGGGCAAAGAACTCGCTTGTCACCATACTAACGCCCCGCCCGATCATTGTGTTCCTATGGAAAATACGGGAAAACAGCTCAGAATGATTTGTAGATGGCTCTAGGAGGTTTCCTAGTGGGGTGGGGTGGAGAACTCTTGTGAGAAATCTTAGCATCTCCCTTCTACACTACAGGCAGCTGTATTTAGCCTACAATCTCTTCCTGTTTTCTCATTCTTTCTTCTAAGAGAGGAAATCCAGGTGTCCTAATTGCTAGTCAAGGAATTTAGAATGTCTTAGGGTTTTTAAATGGGAAACTCTTTGGTCAATATTTGCATTAAAAGTTTGTTTTTCACTTGTAGTTGTTTCTTTTTGAAATGATTCACATTGGCTTGGTCAGGAAGGAAATCTGTATTAAGCCTAAATGAGAAAAAATGCCAGAGATCATAAATGTTAGGTTATTAGATTTCCTTACCACTATATATTAGTTTGTAACTTCTTCAAGCTTATAGGTTGTATATAGATGAGTTCATCAACTTATTAATGTTGGTAATTAACAATTACCCTATGTGTGTTTGTATCTTGGAACTATTTTAATGTAATTTTCTCCTATGATTAATTGTCAGTATTTAAAGCAGAAAGTTGCAAACTTCTTTCAGGAACATTAAACATCAACATCCTGAAGAAATTAAAATATTTATTACATTATAATGTATACTAAATACTGCAAGACAATAATCCAAAATTTGAAAGATGGTTGAGTCCATTTCTTCAGTTTCAATGAGTGCTTTGTTTTAATAGGAACACCAATTTAGTTGGAAAAGAGAAGGACTTAAAGATATGTAAAGGAAAGAAAAGGCAAAATCTGCACTTTGTATAAAAGGATTTCTTGTTAGCAACAGAAAACTGTACATCATTTTAGGAAATGTATCACTTATTTATATTGGTCCTCATGACCAACAATGTTGCAACCAGAAATACATAAAGGTTTTAGCAAACCCTCTTAATGATGAATGACACTTTTAAATATCTATAATCAGAATGAAAGTTGTCACCCATGAATAATGCCTGCCACCACATTTTAGATTCACTTTGTTGCACTGGACTGGACTGCACTGGACTGCACTGAGCTGTTCAGGTTAAAGAAGGGCAAGAAAGAAGGTATCAAGATCACATTTGCCTGCTCCTATCTTATTTTCACCATTCCCCTCACTCCTCTTTTCCTCCCGGAAATTCTGTGTATGTTAGCCCACAATGGTAAACATCATGAATCATCTTCACCCTCACTGGGTCTTGCTGACTGTGGAGTTTTGCAGCAGGACTTCTGTCTCACCTTTTCCTCCTTCCACTTTAAAGAACATTCACTAGTCCTTCATTTAAATACCTGAGACATTTAAACATGACTTTGCATTTAAATTAAGTAACAACTTATGAGAAAGAAACATAAAAGTCTAGAAATCAAAGTGAGCAAATTTTGAAAATACCTAGATCCTGTGGGCCAGGTCTGCATGTTTTTTCAGTCTTAGGACTATGCCTTAGGACTATACCAGGTAAACGTGTACCTCAGTGTGGTGTATTTCAATAAAATCTTTTTAAAGCTTAAGTAGTCAACAGAAATTCTTAGGTATTTTGAAAATCACTTAGATATGATAGTTTCTAGAGTAAGAAAGAACCAATTAATGGAAAGCTTATAGTGGATACATGATCTCACCCACTGGCATTCTGCCTAGGGAGGTTGATGATAGAAAAAATGAACATTTTGACCATAATGATTACATATAATCACCTTGCCCATGCCTAGAATGAAGTGATAGAAGAGTTAGAAAAAATTAGCACAAAATAAGATACATACAACATTGCAATTAATTACTTTGTATTGATCTACGTATCACTAAAATTCTGAAATATATGGTGTACCTGGGAAATTGGAAATGGAGGAAAGCTTTTATTTTTAAATAGTATGTTTGTTAAAATCATAATAGGATACCATTTTGTCTCCAATACAGTCTAAGTACCACAAAATCTGTTAATAACAAATGTGAACCCACAAAATCTTTTATATGCTATATAGATGAGAGCAAACATATTAGAAAATCTCGCCATTTTTCTATATTGAACATACCTTACCACTTCATGCATAGATGCATACACATTTTATATATTCATATCTAGAGAAAGTCTTGACATGCACAGCAAGAGATATGTAAAAAGATGTTTATAGCAGAACTGCTTATGTTAACAAAAATCAGAATATGTCACAATGCCCATAAGCAGCAGATTGACTGTGATGTGCTCAAAATTACTGAAATATAACCACAAGTAGGAATTAATTTTAGGCTGACAAAGTTCTTAAAGACTAGAGACAAACTTTTTTTTTATAAGATTAACAATACTATAATGTCTCTCTATATATGTCTATATATGTGTGTAATATATATTATATTTTGGACAATAAATACAGTGTAACAAGATATAAGGAACAACAGGCATAAGATCCTGGGTGATGGATCCTTTGAGTGGAGAGGAAAAGAGGGGCAGATCTGTAAAGAGATCAGGGACTGTTTGGGGAAGTTGTTTTTTCTAGGCTTTGTTTTACATAGCAGCTTGATGGCTCATTATTCCATTATTTAAAATAAATAAATAATTAACAAAAAATAAAAGCAACTGTATCTAATGAAATGATAGTAGAATGACATGGACCAAGAATTATAACCCTAAACTTGAGTAACAGAGAACTCCAAAATGCAATATAGAAACAAAATTTGATTTTCAAAACCCATTCTCGACATTTTGTTCTTTAATCCTGTATTGCTTTGCAAGTAAAGCATCTTTAAATGTAAGCAAATTATTAATCTGAGAAAGCACAATAAGTAAAACAGTTCCTGTTTTCTAGAACTTTCAATCTGTGTAAGTGGTGAGAATCACATATATTATTTCATTTATTAATTAATACTAAGTCACTCATGGTTCAGACTGAACATATAAAGAAAGTAAGCCTCACCCAATATTTTCAATTTAAGTATTAAAATATCTGAACCAGTCATGGAGAAGATAAATTTTCACACACTATTTGTAACCTCATAAGCTTGTGAAGTTGTTGATCTTCACTGAATAAATTGTCATTAGTGAGAGATAATAGTATCTAGGCCTTAGTATATTTCTGACTTCACTTAAAATATGTATAAAAACACTTCAGATGGAATTGAAAGAAGACAATATTCCAACCAACAGCATGACATTCAGAATCATGGCCCACAGTCTTTTTGAATTGAATTGGATCTTAAAATGACCTTTTAATCTCAGTGGGCTCCAAAATTCTCTTTTGTTTATTTGGCTTTATTTTTAAAAACTCAGACCCATGCACCCTTGTATTCATTGTGCTGTGCCATGGTTTTGAATATCATCTGTATGCCAGTTATGATCAAGCTTATACCTGTACTCCATTCTTCTAGGCTGAGCACCAAATTCACTTCTCTGCTGTCTACATAATTTTTCCATTTGGATGTGAGATAGCAAAAAGAAGAAGCAAAGTTATAAGAATCGTAGTTGTGGGTAACTAGGGTATTATCTTGGCTGGTAACCTACAGAACAACTTTGAAATCTAACTCAGCACATCCCACTAAGGAAGGTGAAGTGAGTCCATTTGTTTTTAATCTACTGTCCCTTAACCAGGAAGCTCAGTCAATCTCTGTGCACTGCTGTTCTGAGAGTAGCTATAGGCAGACACCTGAGAGACTGTCCTGAGGATACCTGTGGGCAAAGGGATATAAAAGCATTATCTATAGTTGGTCTCAATAATTTAACCTGCCATAGTCCCACCATCCTTCAGCTTTTGGCTTAGTTACTCCCTCTCTTTTCCCTGAGGTATAGAGTAGGTCTTTTGCTTTGTTTGATCTCTTTGTCCCTTGTGCTTTTTTCTTCATGCTACTATCATAAATGTAAGTATAATGAGCAAGGCCTTGCACTCAATCTCCAGGGCTGCAAATGAAGTAAGAATATAGTTATTTGTATGATTTAGCACCCATGTATTCAAATACCAGCAACACTGGCAGTGTTAGGCAGATATTAAAAATGCAGAGTCTCAGCATTAAAATATGCACATTAACAAATTACTCATAGGATTTGTATGTAGATTAATAGTTTGAGAAGTGCGATTCCACTAGGCTATATTTTCTTGAGACTGTTGTTTGTCTTTGGCATTTATGGCAATCCCTAGTAATGTAGTTGCAAAGCTGCTCTTGATTGAGCACATTCATACAATAATGCATATGTGTTTAAGAAAACATATGCACAGTACACACAACACGCCATGCCTGATCCAGCTGTAGCTTGATGTTAAGATCTGGTTTTGGAGGATTTGTGTGGTCAGTGTGCTTGCTCACTGAGGCATGCCTTAAGTCCAAAAGTATGCTATTTCCATTGGTCCCTGCAGAATTTGCACTTCACAAAGCTGCAAGAGGGAGGGAGAAATCATAGCTACTTAAATGGAAATCCTATTAGGCTTATCTGTTATCACTTTGTAAGTACTAGGGATAATCAACAGTTACCTTAGCATTTGCCTTGTAGAGCCTGTGAAACCTTGTAATTGTTATTAGCTAGACTTAATAGCTGGATCATTTGAAGGCCTTTGTGTCTGACCACACAGTCTGCACAACAGACTTTACATTGGCTTGTCTGTTCCAGAGATGTGATTTACTCTTACCATTAAAGTTATTCCACATCTAATGTATTAAAAGGATTTTGGTTTGACCTTCAGATTTTA